CCAGGAACAGGAGTTTCTTCAGAAGCAGCAACAGGATCTGGACAGCGCTCTGAAGAAGATAATCCAGCAACACAAGCACGAGCTCGCCACCATTGAGAGAGACTGCCTCAACCACAAGCAGCAGCTGCTCCGAGGTAAACAATTATGTCCAACCATGTTTGTGCAGCCTCATGTGATGCTGTGTTCTTGTCACATGGGTCAGAACAGTCTGTAATCTACCATAAACATGAGTTCATTTTCTGTCCTGTATGTCTACATGTTGAATGGCTCGATATTGTCATAAACCTCCTCCAGCTGCACTTCTCTAACATTTGATCAGGGTCTGTGTTGAATATATCCTGTCACCATCATAAAATGACAATCCAGCATTCACATTCACCTCACACTAGGATTGGCTTTTTTTTTTATTTAAATTTGTGCCACTTTAAATGTGAACAACAGCTCTATGAATGTCATGCTGGGGAAACTGTGTGAAAACTTGCACTATTACACTATTGTTAAATGATCTCACCTTCCGCTGTGGTCATTCAGAACAATTTTAGGCATATTTGATTTCTGCCATGATGAGACTGCACTTTGTTGTATACAAGAAAAAGTGCCTAGTACTAATTATGTAACAAATCGAAAAATCGAATAAGAAAGCAGTTCGAACTTACTTAATTCACACATGCGTATGTGCTTTAAGCTCAACTTAATTTTGAAAATATCAGTGGATCAAATTATTAAAATATGTCTGTATTTCTCCCCCGCTCCAATCAGTGTTTTAGCCTCTTGTCTCATTGTTTTAATTTCATGATTCACAAACTTTAAACCCTGTTTGCACAAATATACATTCCACCCAAACATAGCTTGAGATGTGACCTCTCCATTTTTTGTGATTATGGATTCCAACAAAAAGTATAGGATCAAACAGATTACATTTTTTATTTCCTAGAATTATTTGCAAATCCTTTTCAATTTTTTCAGTCACATCTATCCATGTATTTCAACATGTTAACACCATTGAAGATTATTACTTCAGCCCTGTCAGACAGCAGCATGTTAGCAGTTAGCACTGGCTCGGACTTGATCCTGTGGATAATATGTCAGAAACTTCTCAGAAATACATGTACTTAGTGAACCAAGTCACGGGAGGGTGTAGCTGTGCTTTAGGAATGTTTTAAAGAGCTTTTACTGGGAACAGAAATTGTGAGATTGTTCAAAGCTTAACAGCTGAAACCTCATTAGTTGAGATGATGTTGGTTTACACAAGCATCTCAAACATCCAGCAGTTTCCTTCTAATGAGGTAACTTCAGCCCACAAATGTTTCGTGTCCCGTGCTCCATCTTGTTTCCCTCCACCACAGAGAAGCCGAATGCTCTCAGTGTGAATCTTAATGTTGAAAAGATATAAACCACTATGTGCCTGTAAAACCTGGATCTGGATTCTGTGCTGTCATTTAGCTTTGTCTCTTCTTCACTCATGTGTTTGCATACAGCAAGGGAGGCTGCTATGTGGGAGCTGGAAGAGCGCCATCTGCAGGAAAAACACCAGTTGTTCAAGCAGCAGCTCAAAGACCAGTACTTCATGCAGAGACACCAGCTTCTGAAGAGACATGAGAAGGTACACGCCTGTTTGAGGCCCGGCCTTCCTGTCGCTCCTTTACATGGCTACGACTTCTCTGAACCTCGTTCCAGCTTCAGAATTCCCTTTAGTTGTTGCTTCTGTCAAAAAAGTATCCAAATAAAGGTTGAAAAGATTGCTCTGACAGCTCCCTACGTCTCTCACATCCTTCCGTGTGTGTGCGCCCTTTGCAGGAGATGGAACAGATGCAGCGCTACAACCAGCGTCTGATCGAAGAGATGAAGAACAAGCAGACACAGGAGAGAACCAGACTGCCCAAGATTCAGCGCAGCGAGGCCAAGACACGCATGGCTATGTTTAAAAAGAGCCTTCGTATCACCGGAGCTGCTGTTACCCCTGAACAGGAGCGGGAGAAGGTCAAACAGGTGAATGACCTGAGCTGTGTAGAATGCAGTGGTATAAATTCATTTGAACCTATTTTCTTCGGTCCTTTGGTGGATGGAATATATGGGAAAATTGAGGGTCCAACAATAAGCTACATTTACCTGTGTTTCTATCGTTCAGTTTGCAGCTCAGGAGGAGAAGAGGCACAAGAACGAGAGGCTCCACCAGCAACAGAAACACGAAAACCAGATGAGAGACCTACAGCTGCAGTGTGACGCCAACATCCGAGAGCTTCAGCAACTGCAGGTATAGATTCAAAAGAAACACAAGATGTAACCTTGTAAATAAGATTCATTGTAACATTAAAGTAATGTTTGAACCTCACCTCCCTGTGTTTCAGAATGAGAAGTGCCACCTGCTTATCGAACACGAGACCCAGAAACTGAAGGAGCTGGATGAGGAGCACAGCCTGGAGCTGAAGGAGTGGAGGGAGAAGCTACGACCCAGGAAGAAGGTGAAGTGTCTCTTACACCCAAATTATATATCGGTCTGTATCCTCTCACTAAACCTGACTCCTAGCTGATCTTGCAGTCGGTTAATCTTGACTGAAATCATATTAATGTTATTAGTAGTATTTCCTTTGCCTCTAGTATTACCTTAAGACACACTCTCAGACAGACACGTCACTGTGTCCATAACTAGAAAAATAAGTTCCTGGGTGTGTTCACATTTAAATTCTCTAGACCATTTTTATCTGGATCTGCACCACATTGATTACATTTATAAATATCTGTCCTGTAAAACTTTTTTTTCCATCAAGATCCATGAATTATTCTCTGACAAATCAATTCAAATGTATCAGGTCAGGTATGCAGGGGGACAGACGGGCTGTAACGCTGAATTCTGAAGTGTTTTCCTGTGTGTCCTGCAGGCCCTGGAGGATGAGTTTGCCAGGAAGCTGCAGGAACAGGAAGTGTTCTTCAAGATGAGTGGAGAGTCCGAGTGCCTTAACCCTTCCAACCAGAGCCGCATCTCCAAATTCTACCCCATCCCCAGCGTCCACTCTACTGGTTTCTAGTAACAAAAAAACACAACGCACATACGCACATGGACATTAGCACACACGCTCATGAAGACAGTAAAGACTGAACCTGTGCTGCCTTGCCCTTGGCTGTAAGGGTGTAAACTGTTTTCTGTAACTGGACGTAGCTCCTCGGTCGACTGCTCTGCTCGACTCTTATTTCTTCATTTCTGTCGTATTTTCATACTGTTACTGTCATTTTGAAGGAGAATTCTGAACAGATTTAGTGTTTGAGTCGATGCCTCGAAACCACTAAAGTAAAGTCGCTCTCTGTCCGACCTTCTTTGTGATTGAAAATGTTTTTTATCAAATCCAGTGCCTGTAGACTTTGATGTTTTTGGCTTTTAAATCCAAGAAATTCTGATCATTATTTGCTGCTCAAATATTCTCTCATTTAGACTTTTGCACTAAGGAAAGGATTTTCATGCCACTTAATTTGGTTCAATATAAAATAGCAACTTTATCATTTATGATTGATCATTAACTAGAATGTCTTTCTGATGAATAGGACGGAGCACATTTTTAATATCAATCATATCCAAGGAATGATGCTACAGTGTATTTTTATGAAATCATGCATATCCGTTTGTGTCAATGGTAGGTTGTGATACATTAGTCGTCTGTATTATTTTTATTTCAATGGAAAATGTAGGATCTTTTTCCTTCCTTCAGGGTTTTTCTTCAGAATGCCTTCCCGTTTCAAGCACGTCAGACTTGAGGCGACTGTTTGGCAACAAGCAGTAAACCATTAGTTACTGTGTTGCATATGATGGACAGAGTGTTTACATGTAGAGACAAAGAATCACTGTTAATTGGACTCAAAGGAAATCACAGCAGTAGCTGTTGAACAAGTATTTCTGCACCTGTTTGTGGGTGTGCTTTCTTTGCTTTATTTTTCAGGTGGCACCACTTTATTGTTATCAAGAAAAAGTTGTGTATCCATCGGAGTAAGTTCTTCAGGGATGAATAACAAAAGCAATTTGTCATTCATCCGCTTAGTAGAATTGAAATCATTTTGAAGAGTTTCATGAAACTCACCGAGCTAATTCAAAACACAACCAGCTTCAGTTCAGCTACATTCAACAAAAATAACCTGAGCTGCAGTCACAGGTGATGATACGTCCTTTGTTTTTACTTTGCTTTTCTTCATATGCCTCCTCATGAGATATTTTGCTACCAGGTGTATTATGGATAGGCCTTCATGGCTTTTGTTTCTTCTTTATATTGTATTGATAATACTGTTTTCATTGACATGCTAGCTAATAGCCTTAATATTTCAGAGATGGATATGCTGTGTAACTCTTGGTTTTGTATAGAAAATGAACAACTTCAGAATTGTTTCATTCAGCAGTTTTCAAACACACAGTACAAGAGCAGAGCATGAGCCTTTAGCAAATGTTTTTTTATTTTAGGCTGAAGTATCATGAGTGATGCTTACACTGTGTAATTTTTGATGCAGTTGATGCAGAAAATGGACCTGACTGGTTTAGGCCATCTTGACCACCGATTGGTCCATTTCATCATCTCATTTTCTTGATGATTGGCTTTAATGTCTGTCACATGTATTTAATATCTGAGAAGTTATGCACAAAAACATAATGAAGGAGTGCTGTGCACCTTTTGCAAAATATTCTCAATAGCTATTTATGACCCCCCACACACATACTCTACTCTACTTAATCATTAGAGGTTTGCAGCTTACAAATATAACTTCAAAATGTCAATGTTCGTCCAGGTAGATTAAATCGATTAAATTGATCGAATTCTGAATTGAAAAAAAACATGATCCATATCAAAATCATTGTGCATTTTTTAAAATAAATGTATAGTTTTTAGAATGGCTATGTAATGTAGATTTTCATTTTGCTGTAAATAAACTGTTTCCTCTCTACTACAGTTGAGTTTGTTCTTTGATTTGATGAGAAAATCTCCACTGCAACGAAAAGAAATGCAAGAGTCAGCTCCATCAGTCCCACGCAAAAAAACTGAATAATACCCCTCAATACAGTGTCTGTTACAATCAGACTTATTCATGATTATACATAATCCCTGATTTCACAAGTACATCTCTGATCATAAATCTTTATGGAAATGAAAATACAATCATGTCCCTTACAAAATCAAACGAGTGAGCTGCATCTAGTGTGTGCTTCAGTTCATGGTCCGTCCTTATTCTTACACAACTCGTTGAAAATAGAGAAGAGATATGACTTAAAAGGTCCATATGTTCAGAGACGCTGCTCTCAGAAGCCGACGTCCCTCCTTCGTCTTTTGGTCATCATTGTGAAATCTCCTGGAAAACAACACAAAGGCTTTCATGTAGTACGACCTGCTCAGATCCATGACTGTTTGCATGAAATCAAACATTGAACATAAAACCTTTTATGGCTCCTGATTTAGAAAAATCCTAGATCCGCCACTGGTTTGCAGATATGTTTAGCCACTATGGCATTAGCTAGTATGTTCATTTATGAACACAGAAACAAGATCTTCACACAGTCCTCTTCCTGTATAAGAATGTAGCCTATTGCAACACTCATGTACAGTGATTCAACAGTGGAGTTACACAAATCAGGTGAATAATTTCAAATGTTCAGTGTTAAATTCCCTTTTTGTTTTTCGCAGCAGTGTTTCTCTATTCAGCTATAGAGAGATTTTGCCTGTGGAATATATTTCTTTTACTGTACTGTGGATTTTTCCCCACTAACAGCAAAAGCACATCTGTTAATGGCAAATTTAAACAGGAGGAATAATAACAGAAAGAAAAACCTGTCGCCATGTTCAAATGGCCAATTTGATGAAGACCTTCACAAGATGCAGATTAGGTTTTGAGATTTAGAGATTAGTGAAACATTTCAGACAAACTTGAGTTCAGTATTAAATCTTCAACATCAAACATTACTTATAACTGACATTTTGTTTTTTCAGTTGAAATGTACAACGAGATATTTTTAGCTAAATTGATCAAATTTGCTCAAACACAATTTTTTAATCCATTTTTAGTCAATTCATTTTTCAGCAATTTGTATCATACATGGCTATCACAGTTCATTGTGATAATAACACCCGGTCACTTGCCTGTGTGTGAAGATGAAATTGATGCATGATGTTTAAAAGTCGTGGTGATCCAGCTAACTGTGAGTACGCCTACACTTTCAAAAACTCTCGCTGTTACTCTGACAGCAGCAGATGAGATGAAATTAAATCATGATTTGAAGATCTGAAAAATGTCTTGTCACCAATGTTAAAATGCAGCTGACTTCAGGCCCAAAACGGAATGTGAAATAATGACTGACCTCTGTCACCCTTTAGTCCTTTGTGTCCCTGACGCCCAGGAGGACCTTGTCCACCTGTGACCAGACAGACAGAGTCATTATAAAGTGTCTCTGCAGATGACCAATGGGAAAAAGCCATGAAAAACACAGTAATTACTCAAAGTTAACTCCTACCATGGATTTACTCATTTTTTTCAGTCATCTTGTGGTCTGAATTAATCTGTGTTTAATCACCATTAAATGTGAAGAAATATTACCAGCAACTATTTATTGTACAATTCAATCACATTTACCTCTGTCTCCTTTTATGCCGGGGAATCCCATCTCCCCTTTCTGTCCTGGTCTCCCAGGTTGTCCTACAATGGCTCCATGAGCTGTGAAGGACAACACTTTTTTAAAATCCTCATCCTCACATTTTTAGCTCCTACGTTGTCCTTTTTAAATAAAAGGTGTGTATTGTTAAATTCTGCTTTACCTTTGATGTATTCCACCAAATCAGAGACGTTTGTATTGGAACCAAACAAGCGGCTGTGTCCCGGTGGACCTGGAGGGCCAGGTGGTCCCGGTTGTCCTTGGCTGTTACGTTCATTGTGAGTGCGCTCAATGTCACGAAGGCCATGCACTGGAAAATTAAGAGATAAGGTCATGAAAAGTGTACCCCTGACATTCATATTTAATTCGGTGATTAATTGAATAATAGTGTAGCTCGCTCACATTTGATGTATTCCAGCAGTTCTGTTGCATTTCCATATGAACCAGACCGTCCGCTGTATCCTGGCGGACCTGGGGGGCCTGCCGGTCCTGGAGGTCCTTGGAAGATGCGGCTGTTGTACTCGCTCACAATATCGTGGAGCACACCACGAGCTGCAAGTATGAGAAGAATGGATGATACATGTGAAGTTTTTGGCAACTGGTTGACTTAAATATGAAGAAGATAAAAAGTTGTCCGACTGGACAAGACTGGAGGGAATGTGAGCAAAGACCTTGAATAGCAGAAGACATTCGCACTACAAGTTTTCAGAAGACAGTAAAATGTCAATAATTGTCTAACTGTTCTAACTGATCTGTAACAGATGGTCAGTCAGGGTTTGTGATCATAGAGCTCATCGACCTACATTTGAGATATTCCACCATGTCCACAACATTTTCACGGGAGCCGACCCACTGGCTTTGTCCAGGTATTCCTGGAGGTCCAGGAGGTCCTGGAGGTCCTTGGACAACACGGTCAGAGTCTCTCAGAACATCACGGAGCAGACTGTGGGCTGCATGTGAAGGACAGTAAGGTTCAGTACTATACTGTATATTAAGCATTAGCACTGAGTTCAACAACTTAACCTGATGCATTCTAGGCTATCTACCTGTCACTCTCACACTATCTATATCGATACTTGATACTCGAGATAGATAGTGTGCAGTATTATCTGCTCAGAACATTGCATAACTGCATTTTCCTATTGTGCTCCCAGGGCTTGAAATTTCTACAAGACAAACTTTGTCTAGTAACGCTGCCTTAATATCCCTAATGTCTTTCAAGCATCACATACAATATAAGATTGTGATATCCCTGATGTTTCTTGGGTCAGGTTTCTTTGTTTAAATGTGATTGTTGTTTGTAACAATGTCACAGTCCTATGCTGCCATTTTGGCCAAATATCTCTTGCAAAAGTAATAATGTATCTGTACATTTTCTGGTTATATAAAGATTGAATTAAAAAAGCTAAATAAAATACAATACATAGACCATAGAAGTAAGTATTGACAGATTCAAGCAGAATTTTGTCATTGCTGACATGGGTCTTGCCACCTACATTTGATGTAATCAGTTACTCGGACAGCCATACTGGAGTAGTCAGCAGTATCCAGGTTCCAGGATGTAGCGCCAGGCACACCTGGCTCTCCTTTGTGTCCTGGGGGTCCAGGAGGGCCTGGCAGACCAGGAAGCCCAAACATGGCTCCTCCCAGAGCTTGACCTGGAGACAATACAATATAATGACTTAATTTGTGACTATGAAGCAGACAGATCTATGAAGTGACAGTTATGGTAAGACTTACTTAAACCCTCAGCATAATGTTTTTGAATGGTTGTTAGTGCAAGTGTATGAAGAGGCCTTTTGTCTATAACCCAAGTCCACTATATATGCAGCACTTCATTTCATGTAAGTTCCTATGGTCTTTGTATATATTTAGCATATGTGCTAAAATGTACTAAAAAGTACATCATTATGTTTTATGAATAATTCTGTCCACAAAATCTATCATGTCATTAACTCTAACCTATACTCATGCCCTTGAACCCATCTATGACCTGGAACAGGTAAAGAGACATTTTAAATTTTATGACCAAAAAGTCAGAATGAGAATGAATGTAATAGAGGCATGACTTTTTTTAAGTCATTTAAAAGGGACTATAAGGCCTGTGGTAGTGTTTTTTGTGGAAATCACTCAAGAACCAATTCTGTATCCATAGCTGTAGGAGTGATATAAAATGTTTTCTTCAGAAAGGATATGGAGACTTACATAAATACACTGTACAATTTGTTACGGTTGTATGAATCTGGTACAGACTAAAACTTATTATGGTAGTGCTGCAAAAGCCAAAGCCTTTCTTGGGTGAGACAGTATATTTTAGAAGTTTAAACTCACTCTTGAAATGTTCTTGTTGTTCTGTTGTGATTGAACCTCTGTCTGTATGCCCAGCATAGGAGACCAATCCTTGCATTGGACCAGGGGGGCCCTCAGGTCCAGGGGGACCAGGGGGGCCTGGTGAGCCTTTGAAAGCGACACCTTTGGGACGCAATGGAACAAATGGATGAAAATATGTGTTTTTACTTTCTCTTATTATTTTTTTCTGTCAAACTCACTTTGCAGGTAGTCACGAATATCAGAGCTGATGTAGTTGCCAAATCCTTGTGGGCCAGGTGGCCCTGCTGGTCCAGGTGGTCCTTGTAGACCAGGGACACCTGGAGGACCAGGAGGCCCCTGAATGCCCACATTTGATTGATACCCAGCTAGTGAGACAAAGAAATTTGAACATGTGCTAGATTAAGACAGGTATTAGATCTACTGTAAGTTTTTAAGAAACAAGTTGTATCAGTCTGGATTAGAATATAATCAAACAATTGTTGTTGTGTCTCTTACTTGATAACAAGTTTCCAGGTAGACCAGGAGGCCCAGGGGGTCCAGGTGGTCCAGGGACACCGACCATTCCCTTCTCTGGTGACAGACAAGACCTCTCATTTATGTTCTCTCAACAGTTTACATTTCAAATAGGTAACCTAGGTTCTTCTGTAACTAACCATTCATGAGACTGAGCACCCGTTCAGCCACCTGGTGGGTGTTAAATCCCTGACCACCGTGACCTGGATCTCCAGGTGGTCCCGGTGGACCAGGTGGACCGGCAACGTATCTCCTGACATCCTCTCCTGAACACAAATAATTCACAGTGTCAGTATTTGCTCTGAGTAGTTGCATTAAAAGAATAACTTAGAGATTTCTTAGAGAAAATCTGATAAAAAAAGTTGTCCCTGCCCATTAATGGCTTTCACCACTGATGTTTTCTTTCACAGGTTGAAATAATGTCCTTAACACAGGTCTTTTTTTATCAAGACAAGCATAGCAGGTTAAAATCTTTTCAATCCATTTACAAAATGATGAAGAAGTAATTCTCTCAAGGTCTTGACCTCAAAATGTAAAGTACCTTGCGATAATGTATGTTATTACTTGGCACTATACAAATAACATTGAAATGAATTGAAGTGAATTATACAATTTTGTGTTCCAATCAAATATTGAGTTTCTGCTTCTGCTAAGTATGCCACCTTTTTATCAACATCTTATGAAACTTACGTTGTAAAAGACTGACTATGTCATTTACAGAGATGGCACCAGGTGGACCTGGAGGACCAGGAGGGCCAGGAGTCCCATCGTACCCTCTACCTGAACCTGAATACAGAGGGTAAGGGTTATACAACTTCTGCGGTTATAATACGAGTTGATACTTTGTGATAATAGATGTAACATTATTGTGTGATCTTACCTTGGATGTAGGCGATGACTCTATTGGCCACATCGTCCACCAGCCCATTCCCTGTGGCCCCTGGGGCTCCGGGAGGACCAGGAGGCCCGGGAAGTCCAGGTTGTCCAAGAGACCCATCGTATCCTCTACCTGAACCTGATGACAGTAGGTAAAGGTCATACAAAGGTTGACAAAACTGCCATGAAAACAGTTGATCCTATGATTTAATCACTGTAACATTTGTGTAATATTGTGTAATTGATCATACTCTGAATGAAGGCAATGACTCGATTGGCCACATCGTCAACCAGCCCATCCCCTGTGTTCCCTTGGGCTCCTGGAGCACCAGGAGCACCAGGAGCACCAGGAGGCCCAGGAGGTCCAGCCAGATATTCCCTGATGGCTCCATCTGCAGGTCAAGAGTTTAGTTCTTTTTTGTTTCATCCTTATGTGTTGTGATATAGTGTAAACCAAAGTAAATAGAGGCACAGGGGTACAGCTTACTCTGAAGGTACTCTGCGATGTACTGGCCCACATCAGTTGATCCAGTCGTACTTTCATCTCTTCCACTTGGGACAGGACTGAATGAACCGCCTGGTACAATGACATAGAGTCCCAAATGAAACCTCATTGTACTTGTAGGAAAAACTTTTAAAATAGTTTTAAAAAAATTTCATTATTATGACTGCAAAATTATTGGCAATTACAACTTGACCAAGCTGCACAACCTGGGCTGAATTGTGAAAGCAATTTATACGAGCTTTAATTTTTCTGTCATGAGTGATTAACACTAACACTTCACATCAGTTAAAGGTTCAGTGTGTAGAATTAAGTGATATCTAGAGGTGAAGCTTCATGTTGCAGCTGAATACTCCTCATCTCACTCTCCCCTTCCCATCATGAAAGAGAACCTGTGGTGAACTTCAGTTGCCATGACAACTCTAAAGGTTTTAGTTTCTCCAGTTTGGACAACAGTAAATAAACATGGTGGCCTCCACAGAGAGTTTTTAAATATAAAGAGCTCATTCTATGGTTAAGAATAAAACAATTCATACAATTTAGATGAAACACACAGCACATTGCTTACTCTACAACACATAGAGTAAGCAAGACTATTAAAGATTAGTATTCAGACATTATCTTGATACTTGATTTGATATGATATGGTATTTAGGATGGTCTTACCACTAGAGGCTCCGGGGAATCCTGCATCACCTGCAAGGAAGATACAAATACAAATGTTACGATAAGAACTGCTTTAACTGATTTATTGAAAAAATCAAACATGTTCAAGGGAAACAGAGGAAAATCAGACAGAAAGAGCAAAACATTTTCTCATACAACCATTAACTATAGCTTAATCCTGTGTAATAACACATGAACAAAACAGAACCTTTAACCTGTATCTAAGAAACTACTTGATAACAGGTTTACCTTTATGTCCTTGTGGTCCCTGAGGCCCCCTAGGTCCAGGCTGACCTGGGAAACCTGATGTGAAAACCAAAACACTGGTGAACATGCAGTAGATATTCTTGAAGGTTCATTATTGACAATGGAAATATCTTCATATAAACTTAACAAATTCTGATGGTACCACAAGATGAAAGTAGCTGAAAGATGAGCAGATCACCTGCCATCTCGTTCCACAACACAATAATTTGCAGAAATAGAGATTGAAATACCATTGAGTACATCCTTTGGGGATCTTTACAAAAATCCATTAAATCTAAAAGTTATTCACTCACCAACACCTGGTGCCCCTGGTAGACCTGGTTGACCTGGTTGACCTGGTTCACCTGAAACAAACATAATAACATTAAGTTGCGTATAATATCTGTCATTCATGACACGATGACTGATGTTTACAATTTTCTCACCTTGGTAACCTTGTGGCCCTCTATCGCCTGAGAAGAAATGATAAGTTGATGTAAATTTCAAACTTTTGCAACATTCAGACACAGTTTAAGAAACATCTAATCTACTGGACCTACCTGGTGAACCCTTTGGACCAGCGGGTCCTGGTGGTCCAGCAAAGAAGGTCTCTGAGGCAAAAGAATTAAAAATGCATCAAAATACCAAGTATGTTGTCAATCTACAGCAAAGAGTTCCCTCCCACCAACCTGATGTAGGCACAAAGCTGCCAGGTTCTCCTTTCTCTCCTGGGGGTCCAGGATAGCCAACAGCTGTGAGGACAGCAACATTATTAATCATCACCATATAAAGAGAAAGAGAGATTATATCCTGTATTGTACATATGATCACTTAGTTTTGTGTGAAAACACTAAACTTTGTGAACAATACTTGGTATATTGACAACTGCCTTTACCTGGTTCTCCTGGAGGACCTCTGCGTCCTGGAGGACCTTGTTTAGTCTCACCTAAACAAAAGTAACAGAAAATTTGAATAACCATTAGTGGGATCTAAGAACATATAACAATTGCTCGAGAACACCCTTGTTATCTGTTAAATATGTTCCAACATACCGGCAGGACCCTGAGGACCAGATGGTCCAGGAGGACCTGGGGGTCCTGGTGGACCAGGCCAACCTGCTACTGAGGAAAGTCCAGTTAGAAATGAAAAGATAGAGGATGTTTCGACATGTATTACTGCCTCACACAGTATGATCTTGATACTAATACCACATATAGTAAATGATTAAAGAAATACAGAGGTACTTACTACCAGCTCGAGTGGCACTGACAGTTTCTGAACTTCTGACGCTGATGCCCGGCTCGCCAGGTTTTCCTTGCTCTCCCTTCTGTCCCCTTTCTCCTTTCTCACCCTGTGTACCCTTAGGACCTAAATGATTGAGTCATGGTACAATTACTGTGATCCTCACATTCATCTAAAAAGTTTAGAACAATGTAAGCTCCTTAATATATGTCAGGAGTTTGGATTTACCAGGTTGTCCTGGGACACCAACTGGGCCACTGGGACCAGACAAACCAGGGGATCCAGCAGGGCCTGGAGGCCCAGCGGGCCCTGGAAGTCCGGGGATGGCCACAGTGTCAGAGCCAACTGTGAACAACATAGAAATTTACAAAAGGCCACTTAGAGTGCAATACCCAAAACTAAGTGCCTACTTAGTACACTCAGTTCATTTACAATAGTACAAGTACTGCAATTCTTACTTGGAGTGATGACATTACCAGGCAAACCCGGTGAACCTGAAAGATAGCATTATATTATACTACATTGTGAAGCTTAACATTAGATATGTAGCAATCGGAAGATGACATTGTATATATTAGAGAGTTTTAGTTTAAAATGATCTTATAAAGCCATAAATTAAAGAGTATAAACATTAAGGCTGTAGTTTGGGGGAAAAAGAAGAAAAGTTTACTACTACTTATTGTTCAGATGTAGCTCTCATATAGCAACCTTAAAAAACAGCATAGCATGAAACAGTTTACCTGACGAACTCTAAACTTACTTTTAAAAAATTGTTTTAAACTATGACTTGTTCCTTATCCTTTTCTTTTGCCATTACTTTGAACTTTTTTCAAATTAAATGATAATGCATTGTTTTACTTGCTGTCAATGATTTTTACATTATTAAGTTGTATTATTTTGCTTGTTATCCTTAATTTTTTTCTTTTAATTGTCCTCTTTGTAAAGCACTTTTACCAACAGCTCAGACAGTAAATTAAGTGGTAATGGACATAAATGTGCAGTGATTTCTTTTCATTGAAGCTTCATTATTTTTGTATATATTTAAGTAATGGAGAAATGAGGCAATACCTTGAGCACCAGGTTGTCCTGGGTTTCCAGCGATGCCTGTGGCAACGGATCAGAAAACACATCTATAAATATATTTATGCTAATCTGAAAGAAGAGTAAAAGCATTGATTTATTCATATTCTCATACCTGGGGGTCCTTGAATCCCGGATTTGCCTGGAGAAAAAAAACACTGATTTAATTTCAGTGTAATTTCTTAATAAATAAACTACCTGAAATTCCTCAGGCAATAATTGATAAACACAATCCATAACATTCCAGTTGATTATGAATGCTGCCATAACTGGATAGTGTTATATGGTACCTGGGGGTCCAATATCTCCAGGAAGTCCAGGTGGTCCTCTGACTCCAGGAAGTCCCATTGAACCTGCATTACCTGCAGATTATACACAGAGACTCTAGTTCACAGGATATAACAACAATCCCATGTTTCGTTTTTCTCTGTCCTAAGTAACTATTTTCCTCTCTGACTTCTCGTTGGATCCTATTTTAAATTGACTGTTAAATACTATTTCCTGTTTTCTTCCACTCTGAAAATCTTTTCTTTGCAAAGTATTTTAATGTTCCCTTATTAATGAAAGATGTATTTACCCTAACTCTTACAACATGTGGTCACAACAACTGAAATGACCATGTCAAAGTTTTCCAGGCACATAACTCTTATGGCATCATGATCAACTAATTTATTTATTTAACAAATGTCATTTTTATTATGACTGTGAAGCTCTCTCCTCACCTGTACTCCCCTTAGTTCCCTTTGGTCCAACAGGACCTTGTGGTCCAAGTGGTCCTGGTTGACCTTTTTAATCATGAAGACACGAAAAATCATCCAAAATTAGAACCTTTTCTTTTAATAAAAACATTGTTGAGGTTTTGTTAGTTGCATCTTCAAAAAAATCTGAATGAAAATTTGTAGAATTATTACACATTTGAATAAATAAACCTACACAAACACAATTATTGATATAACTTTACACAAGTTTTACCTTATTGAGGATGCACACATTAGCCTGATTTACACAAATAACCAACAAGTCAAAGATTCATAATCAAACATCCTTCTCCAAAAGTATTTATGTGATATTTCCAAGTCAGCTCAAAACTTCGAATTCAAATTGTTCCAATGGCACAAGACTCACAGAGTCAGAAAACTGACTCAGTAATCACTTACATATGAATATATCTGTGTAGAGTTTGCTAACATAAGTCACATTAGCCAAAATTTTTGATCATATTGTGAAGAATATTTACACTTGTTTGTTTTGTTAGTATTGTGTACTTGATTGAAACTAGAGTTTATTGGCAGAGAAATACATTTTATTCATGTTGTGCAAGACTGACACATACCTGCTGATCCACGTGGTCCCCACTCTCCCTGCTCGCCTTTGGGTCCTGGCACCCCTGGACTTCCTCTGTCACCTGCAATAAGGACGGTCCATAATTTCAATGAGTCATTGACAAAGGTCAACATTCTTCATCTTCCGTTACTACAATACTTAACTAAGCCGACAGTGCTCTGCAAAACCAAAACAACCTAATCATTTCACTGAAGTTTGGTCAGTTTCGTATACATTATCTCACAATAATTTGTATGTATTTTTGACAACTTTTAAAAACTATGTATTTTAGCTCATATGAGGATTTTTTGGTTTAAAACGAGATTAAGCCTGAAAGGTACTGTACCCTTTGGTCCTAGCGCTCCTGCTTCACCCTGGTAACCCTTTGGTCCAGGAGCACCTGCAGGTAAACAAATAAACAATCAGTCTGTCAATCAGTAATTAGTGAAAAAAAAATTAATTCATGTTTTACAAGTCTTTACCAGGATTTCCTGAGGCTCCGTGCTCTCCCTTGTCACCTAAATCAAATAATAGAATCTGTTAACATACTACAGGGAGATTTTTTTGGTCTGTTTGATCAAAGATGTTAAAAAACACTAGTATGATCTGCTCTGATCTATAATTCCATCATGACCTTTGACCTTACCTTTTGGCCCAACAGGTCCAGCAGGACCAGGGTGTCCTGGCCCACCTTGAGAGCAGAACCAAATTTCATTCTCAAATGCTGAATAACCAGTAAAGTTCCATTGATTTAACTTATGTGACACAAAACATTTTCTACCTTGATCTCCTTTCGCTCCAAAACCAGGTTGGCCAGTCTCTCCACGGGGGCCCATCAGTCCCTCACGGCCCCTTTGTCCTGGCGGTCCATCAGGACCTGGTTCACCTGGATACAAAGGAGAAAAATAGCTCATTCAAATTGTCTCCATTCAACCTAAACAAGTTATGGAAAACAACTGAAGCTGGACATTACCTGCACTTCCCTTTGGTCCCCTGGCCCCATCCAATCCTGGGTGACCCATCTGCCCTTGGGGACCTGGAGAAATAATAAGAAAGATACATGGGAGGAGGCAGCAGTTAGTTTTGAGTTTGTCATCTCTGGGAAAGAAATCCCGCAACACGTGCAGATTTTTCAGTCTTACCTGGCAGACCAGGGAAACCACTATCCCCTGCAAAACATTGATTTTTAGTACATTGTTCCCGTTTACAGACTGACTCTTGTATCACTCACCTCTTAAGTTTTATGTTCATGAAAAAACCTCACCTTTTTGTCCTAGCACCCCTGGGTCACCTGTAAAGAAACAGCCAGACTTACAGTTTGAAGACTGTCGACTATCTACAACATACCAGTTTCTAAATGATTCTATAATTTGTGTAAATGTACCTTTAGATCCTGGCTCTCCTCTCTCTCCTTTTAGTGTTTCTAAAGGTAGAAGCAAAAAGTGATGAATTACATGAAAGTGTCCAGAAGGTTGTTTCACTGGTTGGTTTTGATCTAACTTCTTTCATTTCTATTCAGTCTTACCTCGTACAGCATCCGAGCGGAGCTCAGCCCTGATCAGCTGCTGAACAGTTCTCTGCAGTGCAGTGCTGTCCTGTCTCGGTGCGCCCGCTGCGCCTCCTCCCCCCGGCCCAGCAGCCCCCAGGTTGATGTTGTTGTCAGAGCGGGTCAGGGTGGACCCAGCGGAACTCCTGTCCACATATGCTGAATCCAGTGGGTCGATGATGTTGATGCCAGAGGAGGCCGACAAGCGACTGGATCTGGCTGAGGGGGTGCCACTGATGGCTTCCAAGGCTTCAACGCGGTTCCTAAGGCGTTTTACTTCTTCACCTTTGAAATACGAGAGAAGTTGGTGAACGTTTGGAGATCCCCTCTGCTGATCCTCATGAAGGCAAAAACACTAGAGAACAATTGGGGAGTTTTCCTGTCCTACCTAAAGCGATGAGTCCAAAGAGGAGTCCGAGGAGGAGGAGCAGGCTGAGCAGGAGGCCCAGCAGCCACTTCCACCAGCTGCACCAGGAGCACAAGCCAAAACCTGATTCATCTTTTCGGATCTCTGAGAAAAAAAAGTACAAATGCAAGAGACAAATAAGAAAAATGGACTGGATGCATAAAGACAGCAGATTCATAAAACATCTCTGGAAAAAGCATCACATGTACTTTATAGTATCAGGCTTAAATTCAGTGTTGATAGTAAATTCTTAGTATATTGGATGCAAATTAGAAATTTTTGTTCTTATGAAAGATAAAATATCGAAACAAAATTTTGTTACAGGTGGTTGCACAGTTGATACTGAAATTCTTCCTTTTAAAAATTTGCTGAACTAATTCTTGGCCTCCAGTGTTTTGCTTGGAAGCTCCACATGGAGGACACTGGCTGTCTCTTTGTGCTGAACTACAGTTTCCTGGTTGTAGCTTAAACTCTTTTCAGACCTGGAATTAACAACTTTAGTTAACATCTCTCAAACTAAAAGTTCTTCTCATGTGATCTGACAACATTTTTAAAATGTAGTTCCTGGAAGGGAATGAATTATAAATGTGTGTGAAGTGTTCAGTACCTGCATATGTAGCTTTGTCTTTTGTGGCAACCTTCAGGGCTGAAGCTTTGAGGATTAAAACAGCAGTTATTACAATTAAGGAGTGTATTGTGTATGATTTCAATTAAAATCAATAGAGTTTGTTAAATCTCACATTTAGCATCTGTTCCTTCTGCCACTGTGTTGGCTGAAAACTTCTGTTTCTCTCTCTTCAGTGAGTCTTCAGAGTAGGTCACTATAAGACAGTTATTAATTATCCAACTCAACCTTTATATTATTATAGTGGCTGCAGCAATCTTAGCAACTAGGATGTATATCAGTGTTAGTATAAGCAGTAGCAGTATTGTAGCAGTGGTTATTTTACCAGAAGTACCAGCAGGTGCAGCAGACATGAACTGCTTCCCTGTGTCTTTGGTCACGACCAGCCTCTCTGACTCGTTCCTGATGGGAGCGTTCTCCTTCTCTATCAGCACAAACTTAAAGTCTTTTCCTGAGGTGTCGTCGGCAGAGGGACTGCTGGGTCTCACTGTGAGAAACAAACCACACCACATTCAAATCTCTGAGTGACTGAATGAAAAAATTCAATTTGCCTTGATGCAAAGCACTACTAATATTACTATGACAGGCATGTATTTTATCCTTCATCTGTCTAATCTGGCATTTTATTTTGAAATTGTTGCTCACCTGTGCTTGTGCTTATTCCAGAGCCAGACAAATTTTTCTGCACACCATAGACTGTGACAAAAACACATAGTTATATCTGTTTAATTTACTAGTGACTAGGGACTAGTTGGTAACTTTCTATGGGAATTAACAGGAATAAATCTGAAATTTACAAAATTGGAGGTTGGCGCTCAACAGGGAACTTAAATATAGTTGGGGAAATTATACTGTAGCATAATCTTGGCTAAAACAACCAGATTTACTTCAGGTACACTCCTCAATCACATGCACACAGCACACTGCTTACTGCAGGGCTATTGAGGCCACACCCCCTACATGCACTGTGCATTCCTCCATCAAATGCATCATCTGATTTCAAGACTATTGAAGCCACACATTTGAGCCTGAGGACTATCTGAAGTCAAGTAAGTTTTGATAATATTATGGGGTAAATATATTTGATCTATAATAGTATTGATGTTTAACTTGGAAATATTAAATAAAAATAGGTGCTAAATGTAAGCTATTTTTCATTTCATTGACTATTTAAGAGGCTAGCTTATTATGGTGGCGGTAGCTACCTCAAATGTGATGCTGTTTCAGACTCCTGCAAGATGGTTTTCTGTAACCATACAAGAGTTCATACATTAATTGTCAAATATTTTGAAGACCATTCCAGTTGTTTAGGCAACTATATTTCTGTTCATGCCATTGCATTAGTGTTTTTACAAGCTTTTTTTGTTTTTTTATTCCACAGAAAAATGCCACGTTCGCCGTCTGATGTGTGGAAGCATTTCACACAAGGCAATGTTGACGGAATGTCTTTGAATATGTGTAAATATTGTGTCAAAGCTCATGTGAAGAATGCTACAAAAATGCTAAATTTTCCGCAAGGCTCAAAACATTCAGCAGACAAGAGTTCCACTCCAGGGGAAAATGAATCTGCTGTATCAGAGTCAGATACCCTCTCATCAGCTCCTGGTCCCTCTGGTATCAGAGGATTCTTTGATTCGACTGATGAAAGTAGCCAGAGAAATGCAGATGAGTGTTTTGCTCGTGCAGTCTATGCAACTGGAAGAGATTTTTGAATGTTCTCCGCATACACCCCCCCAACCAGGCATGCGCCTGACCCACTCATTTGCTGGATGAGGAGTTGCATGGATGTCTGCTTATGACAAAACAAAAATATTTCCATTTATATTTGGATATGATCCAGTTTGTTTAAATTACCCCCAATTTACAGTTAATTCCCATAAATTCCCAATAATTCCCAATAATTCACATAAATTCACATAATTCTCATGGAAAGGTTCCAATTTGGAATATTTTCAGAATTCCCCACCTTAACTTACCATGGAAAGTTTCTGGAAATGTACTGGAAATTTTCCGCTCCTTTGCAACCCTACTAGTGACGCTCAAAACCTCATTTAAACATTTTTTTTGGGGTTGTTGTGCTTTACCTATTGGGGAGTTGGCTCCTGCTGGAGAGAGAAGAGTGGGGCTGGTGCTGGTCAGATTATTCTGAACACCGTACACTGGAGCTGAGGCAGAGAGAAACTGTGCTGTCAGTGAGAGCTGAGGACGTGAACCTGCAGACAGTGATGGATGAGCCTCACCTGTGCTGCCGGCAGAGAGGCCACTGCTCACATAGGGAGAGCTGAGAGACATGTTGTTCTGAAGTCCTAGACCTGGACCTGGACACAGCACAACACAACACAACACAACACAATACAACACAATACAACACAACACAACACAATACAACACAACACAACACAACACATCACAAAACAATACAATACAATACAATACAATACAATGCAATACAATACAATACAACACAATACAATACAACACAACACAATACAACACAACACAACACAACACATCACAAAACAATACAATACAATACAATACAATACAATGCAATACAATACAATACAACACAATACAACACAACACAACACATCACAAAACAATACAATACAATACAATACAAATCAATACAACAAAACACAACAAAACACAAAACCATACAACACAACACAATACAATACAACACAACACAACACAACACAACACAACACAACACAACACAACACAACACAACACAAAACAAAACAAAACAATACAAGTTATTTGGATTAGATTGGATGAATTAATGGATTCATCATCAGAGAATTGACGCTTTTTTGCTTATATATACAGAATATAACCAAAAAAGCCTCATTGACATTAAAAATCTTCTATATAGTTTGTAAATATCTTTGAACTGCATATAGAGTAACTGCATATGAATAAAATCCTATTTTATTTTCAAATAAAAATATAGTAATTATAATAGTTGTTATAATAATAATAATCATTATTATTATAATAATATTATGTACACACCATATATTTGGCAGGAAATGGTTAAAGATAGTGTGTAGAATTTAGTGACATCTAGTGGTGAATTTGCATGTTGCAGGTGAACACCCCTCACCTCACCCTCTCCTTCCAACATGAAAATAACCTGTGGTAGCTTCAGTTGTTATAAAAACTCAGAAGGTGTTTAGTTTTTCCAGTTTCCAGTTTACTGTAAAAAAAACATGGCGGCCTCCGTAGAGAGGACCCCCTCGATGTAAATATAAAGTATTTAAATATAAAGGCCCCATTCTAGGGTAAAGAAAAAAACAATCCATACAATTTAGATGAAACACACTAGTGAAAACATCACAAGGATTATTTTACATTCAATTTCAGCCAATAGATCATTTTCACCTAAATCTTACACACTGGACCTTTAATGAGTTAGATACAATATTACAATATGTTATATAACCAAATTCCTCAGGAAACATACAACACTAGTTAGTAGCACTGGTTTTTACTGGTTGTCATATGTATTTTACTGACCTGACTGGTAAAGAGTGGAGCTAGTGGACAGGTTGTTGGGGTTTTGGCTGTAACTGTAGCTACTGCTCACACCTCCAGGCCAAATGCTGCCATAGGGGATGTCTAAAAAGAACGAGTGAAAATGTTAGATAAATCTGTAAAAACTAAAAACTGATGAAATGCTGTGCAAAGCTAATGAATAAATAAAGTAGCTGTCCAGAAACATTCTCAGTTTTAGTTACAACTGTGGTGTAGAACTGCAAATCTGCAAACATTATTAGAAGCAATCAAGAGCTGGAACAGACTTTTTTCATGAGTATCATGTTTCCTGTTGACCACTGAGTGAGAAGCAGTGTGAAGACGAGGTGGGAGCTGATTGTCTGAACCTGTGGTGGAGCTCTCAGACATGCTGCGGGCCTCCACGCTGGCCTTCTTGGGGATGGGCAGCGTGTTGTTGGGGGACCGAGGGGGGCTGGTGCTGGTGGAGTTTCCTCTCAGCAGACGCTTCACATCATCCAGCTCCGTCCCTGCACAGCACGGGCAACAGTGGGCGGTAGAGGATCACAGTGTTTACATTTGCATTTGAATTCAATTTGCAAACCAGTTATAGTTGATGATCACAGTTATAAACATGGATGTGGCAAGTCACACTCACAGCATGCTGAGGGAGAAGCACTCTGAAGTCTGGCTCTGATCTCACTCTCTGTGAAATGACAGCAGTGTTGGTGAATAATCTCATGTATGTAAGTGACATGTTTTTATACGCTGTCCCTCATGGTTTACCTCTGCTCTGCGTTCTCCCCCTGGTGGCAGAGCCTGACGTTGCATTTGATGTGCCTGCAAGACATTCATTCGTGATTCCCTTTGTACTTCCTTTGCACATTCCAGGGAACAATTTGAGATTTGAACACTGACCGTACTCCTTCCTGCTGTACTCTGGAGAAGAGTTTGTGCTTGAACTTTCTGAAACATGGTGACACAAAAAGATCACATTAGCCTTCACTTTCTTGGTGCTGCTGACACCTCTACACACAGTGATCAGCTGTTGACCAATAACCAACCATCAAACACATCGGAGAGAGCTGCTGTCATGCTGCTCATGCTCCTCCTCTCCTTTGGAGAATAAGTGATCGCAGAAGACGACCCTCTCTTTGCTTCTCCGGATCCACCTGAAGTGTAGCTGGTCACTGTAGAAACAGAGCCTTGACCCCACTCCCTTTTTCCATCTCTGCCATCACTGGTAAAACCAGAGGAGATGCCGGAGAACCCCCCTCCAGCAGCTCTATACGCTGCCCCGGAGCCCCCAGAGGCTGCAGAACCATCAGCCGAGGATGCTCCCGCAGTCGTGATGCTGATGCCTCCGGTGCCATTGCTTGCTCCTGATCCACCGGAGCGGCTGGATGTTACCACAACTGAGCTGCTTGTGCCACTGGAGCCTCCTGACGCAGCTCTTCCACCTGACCCACCTGAACTCATGGAAAGATCACCTTGGGAGGAAAAGAAAAAAACATGTTTAAAAAATAGAAATCCTATGTTTTTTTTTACATCTCTGAAAGCAAGATCCTATCACAGCCTTCATCAAATACTTTGATGGCTAATATCTAATTGCTTTAAATCACCAGACAGAACTGTCAGTGTTGATGTTTGACCTTTGAAAATATTTGATCATGAAATAACATTCCTGAGATAAGACTGCACTCGCCTGGTTCTGTGCCTGAACATGCCGTGTTCCTCTGCACCATGAAATCCCTGCTCTCTTAGATGAGACTGATTTATGACAGGAACATCTAACATAGCTGGTGCTGCAGCTGAATGACCCTCATCATCCCTTTGGTCTAAAAAATGACTGCCTGCCTCCTGAGGGGTCTAAACCTGCCATCACTTTTTGACCACCTGGAAGCAGCAGAGCAAATACTAAAAACAGCATTGATGTATAGACGGTCTGGTTAATGGGAGTCATAAACAGTTTGTTTACACATCCAGTAGCAGACAAACACAGCCTTCTACTAAAAATGGCTGCAAGTCAATTCTAGCAACATGTCTGATCAGAGTTGGTTGATAATTCTCACATAACCTATCTCCACATTACAGATCAGTCATAGACATTAGTTGTAGCTTTAATTTTTAAATCTATAAAAAAAATTCTATTCTATTCTAAAAACAAATTCATAAAATATAAATTCATCATCTCATGTACACTGATGTTGTCAAATCTTCTATCGTGCCACTTTCAAAGGTTTGTTTCACTGTGTAAAGTTTTCACTTCTTCTTTCCAGAGACATGGCCCTGACAAAAACTATTTACACAGCTCTGAGTATCGTCCCATACACTCATTGTTCTGGTACCTTGCTACAAAAGGATGAGGTTATGAGGTTCGATTCCCTGTCAGGGCGAGGCTCGTACAGCATGTGCAAGACCTGCCTACCTCGTATTTTCAGATATGCACTGAACACAAATGTCAGAGTGAGAGCCTCCAGACTTTCTGTGAACTTTCTCCACCTCCTCCCCTCGTATAACGTCTGCAGAAACTCAGGAGGACCCAGTGTAAGAGCCCCAGGTGTGCACACACACGACAGACGCCAAAAATGAAAAAAACTAAAAGAATAGAAATATCTCAAGAGCGGAAAAATAGTGACAAACGCGTAGAAGTCAACGTCGAAGATATCAAGAGAGTTTGAGGTGACAAGAGCTGAGGGCGTGTCAATTTGTTGTAAACAAAAACACTTGATCTCTGCAGCGGAATTCAAACTTTGTGGTTACGTGCGTCTGAAGAGAGAATCTCCTGCTGTTGTTTGTGTGTGGAAGGAAACCTCTGGAGAAAGCAAGACATTTGTGAAAACGTTTTATTAGAGTCACACCAGCTCTGACGTCCCCCGGGTCAATAAGGTGTGTGTCAGGTGGTTGATACATGGTCCGACTCTGTCATCGAGTCGATGCCAGTAAGTGCTGGTTTTTCACGTTTCCACAATATGAGTGGTTTGTTACATTTGTGGACGATAAAATGCACCAAAGTTAAAAGGTGAATGCACCACTGCACTACCAGTTTCTGTGTGAAAACACTTTTCACATCTTACCTTTGCTCCCTGCTCCTGCTCCTCCACCATAGCTGACAGTCCTGACTGTAGTTAACTTGTCCATCTAGTGTTATCTGTGGCAAAAAAAAAAAAAAACTGCATATACATAGAGTTTGTAAAAGCTGTAATACTTTGTACAACATGAAAGCTCGATGCTCATCACACTGAACTGGAAGGTCAATGCACCTCTAGGCAGGATCTGCACACATTTCTTTTGAGCAACTTCTGTTTTTCTGTGGTCATATTTCTTTCCTTTGTACTCACGTCGCCTGAGGAAAAGGCTCTTTGGAGTCCGACGTGCCACTGGGACGCTGTATAGATGTGACATGAGCTCATTGTTCACTTGATAAATGTGGCATTGCTTTTTTTTTAAAGACCCACAATATAGACGCAAATTACAAAGGAATCTGGGCTGAAAGAGATCGGAGGGTTCAGTCATAGGAAATGACATGAAATCTTTGTGCTGCTGCCGCACAGACTGAAACAGATCCTACACTGGACAGTGGTACGTACAGACTCAGTCAGAGCACAGGCAAATGCTCGCATAGTCAATTTACAGTAGTCTAATAAGAGTAAAAATAAAAAGTTATAATGTTGAATTATAAATTGAATAAACATAAAACTGCTACATTAAATATATATTCGCTTTTTGTTCCTCATTTAGTTTTCTAGTCACTGTAAAACTGTGCTTGTGGGGTTATAAATGGATTTAATTTAAAATGATTGTGTAATCATTTGTGTGTGTATGATGTGGGTCAGTACTGCTGTGTGCTACGGAGTCATTTACCATGTTACCACTGGTGGGAACCAGAGTCTCAAGTTTCCAAATACTGCACATCAAGAAAATCATATAGGCTCATTGTTTTTTTGCTGAAGATAGAGAAACCACAATGAGCAGGAGGATTCAGGCACATGTGGATGTTTTCGCTGAGATTGACAGACTTTCTATTCTAAAGCAACATGTCTGTGGAAATAAACAAATTGAACTCAAAATAAAATCTCAACAAAACATTTGTGATTGTAAAACATCCAAGCTGAGACATGTATACCTCAGTATAGTAATGTGATGAATACACACACACAGACACAGACACACACACACACGATCCTTAGAAGAAAACATCATTAGAAATAAAGAGCAACGGTTTGTCAGGCTGATCCACTCTGGGGGTTTGCTGCTGTATTCTTACAGTAACAGTGGGATCTTTTATGATGAAAAATCTTTTCAACTCACCGACTTTTTGACTCTTTTCATCTTTTGTTACTGTTAAACTGCAGCTCAGCATTGAGCATTATCCAGTGATACTCCCATATGACAATGTTGCCCGTGCAAGCAGCTTATAGATGCACTTTATCGGATGTATGGTTGTGCAACAGCTGGACTTTTGGTGTGTGTCAATGTGTCAATGTTTTCTTTATTCATGTTGTACATCCTTAACTCTGGGTGTGTTGTGAAAGCAATGACGATGAAGGTTGTGATGGTACGTCTGCCTCTGTAGGGGCTCTGGGGAGTTCACAATCTCGTTTTACCGACATCATCATGCAGTTCTGGTTCATGAGGGTGCAAATGTTCTGTCTGTGGAGGTTTGAATAATATGCGAGTGGTGAATGGTACGTTTGTGTGAGTATGATGCATTAGAGCTTAATCTAACCATCAATCAATGTAAAACTATTAAACACAACTTATGTGTTGCCTTGTTGGATTAGATTCCTTCAACCATTGCAGCCTCAGCCTACAAGAGTTATTCAAATATATATATAATTAAACAATTAAATACATATACATGGATATTTGAACATTTTTGGGGAGTTCAAAGTCAGACAAACAAAAAATAAGTAATAATAAAAAGAAATACCAAACTATGCAGAGAACTTTTTTCAGTCTAATATGTTCATCGAGCACACTCATTTTCATTGCTGTGTTATTTTATATGAAATGAATCCATATATCATGGGGATTACAGCCTAGTTTCCAAATAGAGTCAACCTAAATAAGGATATGAGACATGAAAAACATATAATCAAATTAATGTCATGCCATCATGATTGATTTCACTATAAACCACAAGCGTCTTAGGTTTTGATTATTCAGAAATGTTACAATATAATTTTGCTATTACCAGGGAATCGGTCTCATGCTGCTCTCATGCATCCTAAGACATTCTGTAGTGATACCTGATCTGCCTACATGGAATTTAGGAAAACATTAGTTTTCTATTGTATAATTATAATTCATAAAACTACATTAAAACATTATATGTGTCTGATCCTAATTTTAATTATATTATTTATTGACACAAAATTCTCAAATCCTTTTCTTAATGCTCAGCGTGAGAGACATGGTTATATTTGCCTCCTCGGGCCATCAACTATTATCATCTAATTATCTACACTTCAATATGTTCTTGTTTTTTAAATCACCATCCGGCACCAGCAAACCAGAGATACATAGTTATAAAATGTCTTTCCGTCAACAGTTGGAGGTGTCTGGTTGTCTTTTTGGAAATATTGTAGCTGACAGTAATTTTACCCACAAACATTAACTCCACCAAACCACCAGAACAGCCTGAAGCCACATAATGAGCAGTAAAACAGCAGATGAACAGAGATACAGCCCACATTTTTATACTTTGATTTCACAGGAGACATTCACTTTCTCAACTTGCTTTGTTTGTGCAACGATTAAATCTAGACAGACAGTGATAATTAATGTTCTTTTTTATGTTCAACACTTTCATGTACAGTATCTATATCTCATGCTGCTAAGTCTGCGAGCTCCCAGCACCTAGGTCTGATGCCTCAAACACAATTTTTGCTTGAGCGCTGTTGTGTTTGTGTTCAAACTATTTGTTGAAACTTCCCCATCTCTCATTATACTTGATATTACAGCACTAGAATGCAAATATAAATGTACCTTGAAGATAATTGGGATGTATAGCATCTTTTTTAGTCCCTCACAACTTGTATTGCTTGATCATCCTCATATGTTCCCTTTGTATGATCAGTTAAGTTTATCCTGACCTATCAATTCTACCAAGTTGTAACCACTTCTGCTCTTCTTCCAGTTTTCTACTGTGAGCCTGTGAGCAGCTAATAATATACAATCTGTATGTCTCTCAGCAGAGCAATAAAATGTGATTGCAGTCCTCTACTATTATAATAGTTCTGTCTGTTATTTGTAAGAATTATACTGTGATTTATTAGCATTTTAAAGCAGGAGTCAGGTGTTTTTAAGAACAGTTACAACCTGAAACCTGATTTACAAATATGACTTAAATTAATTTCAGTTTTACTTACCTCTTACCACATTTGTGCAAAAATAATCCCGTCCCCCCTTTATGCCCCCATCAGAAGAAACAATCTCACTATCCTGTTCACTATATCACCGTGCATAAAGTCCAGGTGCTGAAGGGATAC